GTCTAAGCAGTGGGGATATATATTTGCTGGAGAATGGACTTAACCTCTTCCTCTGGGTGGGAGCAAGTGTCCAACAGGGTGTTGTCCAGAGCCTTTTCAACGTCTCCTCCTTCAGTCAGATCACCAGTGGCTTGGTGAGGGCAGGGAGTCAAGGAGAAAATGGGTGTGGAGGTGCATTTTGTGATAGGACTGGGAGTCAGTACAGTTACTGTGCTAGTCTTCATAAATATTGGAACATTTTAGGGAAGAGAGGACATTGCCATTCTTCCCAGGCTTCCTTGTTTCAGTTGATGCTTAACTCTCTGCTTCCCCATCTCGATTGGAACTAGAATATCTCACCTTAAGGAAAATTTAATTTTGTGTTCTAGAGTGTTTTGCCGGTTCTGGATAATCCACTGTCAAAGAAGGTGCGAGGCCTCATTGATAGCTTAAGGGCACAGAGATCACGCTACATGAAGGTAATTGACTTGAACCCCTGGATCCCTCACCTGTCAGGTCCTCACCTGGAAGGGGGGGATGGGGAGCAAATAAGTGACTGGGTAATGGGATTTGTTTAATGGGCATGTTTAATTCCCTTTGATTCTGCCTCTGCCCTGTGTTCTGGCCACAGCTTATCGTGGTGAAGCAGGAGGACAAGCTGGAGATGCTATTCAAACACTTCCTGGTAGAAGACAAGAGCCTAAGCGGGGGAGCCTCCTATGTGGACTTTCTCTGTCATATGCACAAGGAGATTCGGCAGCTACTGAGCTAAAGCAAGTGGGTAAATGGTATAGAGTCCCAGGCCAGCTTCCAGAAAGTATCCCAGGATGGCAGAGAAATTGGGACAGTTCCATATCTTAAAAGTCACGTAAGCTGACCTCAGTCTCTTTGGGAGAGGGGGAGTTATAGAGACACCTTCTTTCTGGGCTCAAGTATCCTAACACTCTGTCATGTCCTGCTGATGGAAGGTGCCCCTGTCCCTCACTCCCCCTCCTTTTCCTGCTAATCCTGTCGTAATGAATGTAGTTTCTCAGTTCACTGTATATGATTCGGTGTTGGGTGTTTGGAGGCGCCCAAACCCTGGCAATATTACCTGTCCTTTTGGACCAGCCTCCAAGAGGAGAGGGGCAGACAGGAAGGAGTGGAGTCCCAGAATTACTGTGGGGGGCTGCTAATCCAGCTCAGTGTCATCAACAACTTCCTATATTAGGGATAAAACATACAGGTGCACAAGAGCTGGGCCGTAGACCAGAGGTGGTGGTGAAAAACGTGGTTGAACCTTCTTGGGCCTAGAGGTCAACAGCCAAGTCAGAGCTACTGAGGGTGGTTGATCAACTGTCTCTGCTTCCACTGCTCGCTTGCTCTCTCCTGCAATGATCAGTGATCATTCCGTGGATAAAGGCACATTATCAGAGAGGAATGAGCCTGGGAACTAAGTTGCAAAGTATATTAAGATCTGAAAAAGGTACCAGCCTTCTTTCCAGCTGGAGAGCCCCCAACACTGGATGGTTCTGTAGGGAGCCTGGTCATCAACTTGCAATACCTCACAGAGCCAACCCAAATCCCACTTCGAGCTCCCACTGGAAACACTGCTTTTCCAAGCCGGGGATTGTTCGGAAGAGACGCATAGACCCCTGGAGCCGTTCTCCCCCACCGAGACACCCTTTCGGCTTTGGTACTGAGTGGCTGACAGTTATCTTCCAACTCCAACTGGCTGGGGCAGGACAAGGGCTAGGCTTGATAGCCAGACTTGCCCACTCCCAGCCTGGGATGCCCCTGCTCTGGACCTCTCATTGGTTTATTTTCTCTTCATTGGTTTATTTTTCAATGCATCTTTACTTTGTAAAGAAATAAATTAAGATGTAACCTGCAGCCTCATCTTTACTTGCGACATCTCTTT